GGGAATCACAGCTCTGCTTATTTAGCCTCAGTCTACAGCTTTCTGCTCCGAGTGCCGATTCTCGTCCTCTCCGAGTTCTCCCCAGAGAAACAGCCAACCGAAGGCGCAAAGAAAACCCAATACTTCATTATGCCGGTCTGTGAAGCAGCTTTCTGCTGTGAGGTGTGTGAATTTACGCTTTTTTTCCCTCTGCAACACCTTTGTTTTGCTCTTTTTTATTTGCTGTTTGGGGTTAATTGCTCCCTTTGCTCTGGGTCAGCGGCTGGTCTGACTGGAAATGCAGAGTTATGATAAGAGCTGTTCTTTTCCGCAGTTTCACATTTAAATGTCAAGCCTTGCGTGAGATTCTGAAGCCGTTTCGCAAGGCCTCCACTTACATGAAGGAACGAACGCAAAACATGCATCAGATGACATTATATCTTTGCGTTTTTTTAACGTCGGATTGTTTTTATCTAGGATCAGATCTGCTGCAAGACGTTTAGAGCAGATATTAAAAGATCTCAGGAGGAAAAGCTGCTTAATGACTTTTTGTTTAAGTGCCGCCAGCAAAAGCAACGTTTTCCCATTATACCCTGAGCAATCGCTCCAAATAATAAAGGAATTGCCACAGAATTCAATACAGACACCGGGGATTTCACGACCTATTTTAGTTTTCTGGTGACATTTTTTTTATTTCATCGTATTACAACATTTATACCTGAGGTTTAGCTTTTACAAGGAAGGAAGGAAGGAAAGTGGAACTGAAGGATCCTAAATGAGGGAACTACACTGGAAAAAATCTAAATCTAGATAAGGAATTTTTTTTCTTAAAATAAGTGCATTTGTTCTTGAATTTAGCAGATAAATGAGACATTTTGCCAATGGAACAAGACAATTAGATTTAAAATAAGAAAACACAATTGTATTGTCGTATTTCAACTGCATTTTATCTAAATATCTTTTTTTAAGAGTAAAAATACTCATTCCATTGGCAAACTGTATAATTTACCTACTCAAATTAAGGATAAATACATATAATTTAGGACATTTTGACTTATTTTTAGGTTGTTGTTTCAGTGTAAAGGTGGTGCAGAACCTCTCAGAAGTAGATGAGGATATTATAAGATCATGGAAATGAAAGCTGCATCTATAGTCCAACCATGCCTTACTGGATGCCATGCAGGGTTGATTAACTGATTCAGGGTGATAAAATGTATTTTTATTTAGTTTTCTGCAAACAGGCATCGTTTCCGAAAGATTGCAGCGATTCTAAAGACCTTTGACTCGGGTTTTATTTGATTTTCATCACAGGGCTTAAAGTGAAACTTCAACAGGTGCTTTGGCAATTTAGATATAATATACAATTAAAGCTCAGAAGAATTTTCTGAAACTTTCAGAAAAAAACAAAAACAAATACAGTTTGGAAGTTCAATGTTTTTTTTTTTTCCATACATTTTGTCCTAAATGTCTTTTTACTTCATATTTTGGCCTATTATGACCAAAAACCTCAATAAAGTGAGAGATTTAGTTAAAGCGGAGCATAGATTTTAAGCCATTTTCACTTTTACAGAACATATGAAGTGGATATAACAACGATGGAGAAGAAGGTTCCCTGATTAGAAAAACTTTTTGTCCAACATGAAAATCACTGGAAAGTTACCAATAAGAATGCACCATCTGCATGAAGAAACAGGGCGGTGGCAGTATCATGGTATGGAGGATGCTACAATAAAAAAGAAAAACTTGGTAGTAGATGAAAAATGTGTCAAGATTGGGCAGAGGATTAGCTTTCAGTGGGAAAACGACTCCTGAAACACAGTCATGGGAACAACTTAAAGCATGTTCACATGTTAAAATGATTTAGGATAAAGTCTTCCGATACAAGAAGCAGGTAGAGACCATCATGTGGTTGTGATCACAAAATCAATCTTCTTTAAGAACAGAAAACCTATAAAATGACCACTTCCTTCTTCATTGTCTTGTAAACCAAAAATCTTTAGCATGTGGTCTATGGTCCAACAGCTGCAGAATGAATGAAGCAGACCAATCACCTTCAGGCTTTGCATGATACCTTCACCTATAGGACCAAACTAAATGTTGCCTGGCTGCTAAAAAGGAAGCAAGATGAGATGCTCCTCACCTCAAACCACAAGAAGCATTCTCTGACCGCAGTTAGACTCATAAAGGAACCGCCCACTCGGTTCTCTGCTCCACGCTTTACTGCAGCACAACTGCTACTATTACTACTAACGCATGTGCAAACACAGGAGGGCTGGAGCACGTTTCCTTTAAGCTTTTAAAGATTCATGCAGCCCTGCAACAAGAGACACGAGAAAAGCATGCGTGCAAAGCAGTGCTCCATCATAGGGGAGGATGCACAGGTAAAAAAGGCATACTGTTTCAATCAGGAAATTACATAAGGGACTTTTCCGTCTGCTATGCATCAACATTTGCTGCAATAAAAAAAGGTGTTATTTAGCAGGAAGGTGTTTTTATTTCAAGCTTTGTACGACCACTGTTTAAGTAGCTTATCTGGGAGTGAAATTTAGGCCATGCCCCAGAGAGAGGCAACTATCTGCATCCCTGATGTAAAAGATTCTACGGAAGAGGATTAGGGCCACTGGAAAAAAAAAAAAAAAAAAAAAAAAAGAAAAGTTAAATGATTTTTCAATTTTATTTCAGTTTAGTATGGGGAAAATCTCAGAATTCTAACTTTAATCTCAGAATTCTGAGAAAAAAAGTCAGAATTCTGAGACTTTTACCATACTAAACTGAAATATTTTTTTTTTTTTTTTCACATCTTTGTCAGTGAAGCTGAGTGCTCCCACATCTCTTCCTTCATGGTGCCCGTCTACATTAAAATCCAAAATTCTGAGATTAAAGTGAGAATTCTGAGAAAAAAGTGAGAATTCTGAGATTAAAAGTCAGAATTCTGAGATTAAAAGTCAGAATTCTGAGAGAAAAAAGTCAGAATTCTGGGATTAAAAGTCAGAATTCTGGGATTAAAGTCAGAATTCTGAGAAAAAAAAGTCAAAAAAGTTGTCCCATACTATACTTAAATAAAAAAATCAGTTAACTTTTTTTTCTTCCAGTGGCCTTAATCCTCTTCCGTAAGATTCTGAGGGAGAAACGTCCTGATTTATTTAAGAAAAACCAAGGTGAAGACGTCAAAGTGCAGCCAAGGAGTCTTGTGCACTGGGCACCACAGCCTGAAGGGCAAAGCTGCACTGTATGACAGGGGCTGTTAGATAAGCAGATATACAGAGGTCTGGGTGCGCTGTTGTCTGAACAAATACAAAAGATCATATTTATCTTTAATTCAAAGCCTAAATGCAACATCATCACTGCTGTTCCCTCTGGATGAAGCAGGTTTCCTCTCAATAAACAGCTTTTATGGCTCAGAGAGATGGGACACATTTTTTAAGGCATTTGATTTCACATAAATCCGTGCGGACCCTCTTCTTTGATCAAAAAATAAGAGTGCAACTGTCACTTCCGGTACGTCATTTCAAAATAAAAACCCAAACAATATTTGAGGCATGGAAATTGAACTGAACTTGCCAGAGAAACAGCAGAATATTCACAGGTTGTCAACATACTAACATTAAAAACTCGATATTAATATTCTGGATGATATTTTATATTGAATACCATGTTTGACACCATGGGGATAAAAATGCCAAATAGTTAAAGACATAAAAATCTGTTTAACGACATGAAATTTTGATGCGCTGCTTTTCAGTCTTAAATTAAAACATACTTTCTCAACAGAATCACAGATTCTGTTAGTTAAACAAGCATGTGAGTAAATGCTAAATACTTCAATGCAAAACAATTTGACAATATTTTAAAGTTTTAAAGGCACACAAAAAAATAAAATATAGCAAAATTACACAAACAGCATTTGTGTATCGATACTTTTCCAGGTATCAAAACTTTTAACAACCCTTGTAGAGCCTGTGGTTTTAGGCGATCCTCTGCCCCCACCTGTTGCTGCACTCTATCAAAACATAAAAATGACACAGAAGACCCTGAAATAAGACATTAAGATTCATTTTTCTACAAAGACCTCTTTACACCCATTAAATATATTCAACGTGTCTTTAAAAAAACTGCAAGCATCATTAATTGAATACATTTGATTATGTTTAGAGTTTGAATGCACTGAATTCGTACCATTTTCAAACTGTCCAGTTAATTTCAGAGCCCACTAAGTGCAGTTATAGGTATCTAGAGGGAGACCTCCTTTATAATGAACTATTCTGTTGTCCTTTTTATCCTAATGTAAAAAGATTAAACCCTTAAACCTAATATTAATAATTAAACTTTATTGATGTTACATTGGAGAATTTTACCTCTGCATTTAATCCATCCCGTTGGAAAGCAGTGCGCTGCTATTGTTGGGCGCCCAGGGAGCAATGTGGGGTTAAGGGTCTTTGCTCAAGGACCCGGAGTGGCATCCAGTGGGAGTGAGGCTCAAACTCGCAACCTCAGGATTCCAATCTCCACCCCCCCAACCAACAATCTCCCACAGATCCACTGTTATCCACATAAATGCAGCAGCTTATGAAATATGCCAAGGCCATTAAAGCTTTCAATTAAATGATAAATTCAGTAAGTGTTTGTGGTTCACATAAAATCCCTTTTATCTCAATAAAATGTACAAACTATTCAGGTTTTATTTTGAAGGTCTATGTTTCCTCTTCCGGTCCTGTAGCCTGAATGGCTGCCAGCTTTACATGCTGAATGCGGCTCCTCCGTCCCGCCGTCCAGAGGCGGCTTAAAACTCACCTCCAACACGCTTCATTAAAACCCAAACCCCGGAATAATAAAAGCAACAGACCCACCATGCGTGAGTCCAGGAGTCCTCCTGCGGTAGTTTATTGATGCTCAAAGCCTGGATGCCCCTAACCTCACAGCCGCCCAGACCATGAATGATGCCCGGGCAGCTGCGTGCCATCACATACCACCGCTTCACCAAAACATTAAATCCGCTTTCAGTTTAAAACATTCAATCTTACCGCAGACATCAGTGGTGCTCCCTCGTTTTATGCGGAGGCTGCGTGAAGCTGCTGCGGGTCTCTCCTCCTCCTCCGGCCGCCTCTGATCGGGCTGCTGGGATCTCCGCGTTAAGGACGCCCCTCTGTCCGCCAGCCTGTCCGCAGACAACAGGAGCTTTTTCTGACAGCTCCACCGATATGAACTGCTGGGTGGACTGGGCGTGTCATCCAGCCTGTGAGCCCTCCCCTAGCCGCCCCATGCATGCAGCTCTGCCGCTGTGCAGCCTGAGCGCCACTGCTGCTGTCATTCATAAATCCTGTCATGCTATAAACATCACAGAAAAGTCAGGGATTAAAAAAATATAATTATTTTTACCTTAGGGAAATTTCAAATGAATGAAACGGAATGAAATGCTGTGAGATCTAGATGTCTTTTGCACAGTTGCGGTTCTAGACAACATTTACCAGGGGGCCAGGGTGGGGATGCCTTTTATTTTTCTTTTTTTTTTTCCCCATTGGGAGCAAATGAATACGTATTAAAAATAAAGTTGCAATGAGAATTGTCATAAAATTACTGGAATAAAGTCATAAAATTACGAGAATAAAGTCACAACGAGAATAGTCAAAATTACCAGAATAAATTCGTAACATTACGAGAATAAAGTAACATTTCGAGAATAAAGTTGTAACATTATGACAATAAAGTCACAACTAGATTAGTCATAGAATTATGGGAATAAAGTCATAGAATTACGGGAATAATGTTATAACATTACGAGAATAAAGTCATAATATTACGAGAATAACGTCATAACATTACGAGAATAAAGTTGCAACGAGAATAGTCATAGAATTACGGGAATAAAGTTGTAACATTACGAGAATAAAGTCGCAACGAGAATAGTCATAGAATTACGAGAATAAAGTCGTAACATTATGAGAATAAAGTCGCAACGAGAATAGTCATAGAATTACGGGAATAAAGTCGTAACATTACAACAATAAAGTCGCAACGAGAATAGTCATAGAATTACGGGAATAAAGTCGTAACATCACGAGAATAAAGTCGCAACGAGAATTGTCATAGAATCACGGGAATAAAGTCGTAACATCACGAGAATAAAGTCGCAACGAGAATTGTCATAGAATCACAGGAATAAAGTCGTAACATTACGAGAAAGTCGCAACGAGAATAGTCATAGAATTACAGGAATAAAGTCGTAACATTACGACAATAAAGTCGCAACGAGAATAGTCATAGAATTACGGGAATAAAGTCGTAACATTACGACAATAAAGTCGTAATGAGAATAGTCATAGAATTACGGGAATAAAGTTGTAACATTACGACAATAAAGTCGCAACGAGAATAGTCATAGAATTACGGGAATACAGTTGTAACATTACGACAATAAAGTTGCAACGAGAATAGTCATAGAATTACGGGAATAAAGTCATAACATCACGAGAATAAAGTCGCAACGAGAATTGTCATAGAATCACGGGAATAAAGTCGTAACATCACGAGAATAAAGTCGCAATGAGAATTGTCATAGAATCACGGGAATAAAGTCGTAACATTACGAGAATAAAGTCGCAACGAGAATAGTCATTGAATTACAGGAATAAAGTCGTAACATTACGAGAATAAAGTAACATTACGAGAATTAAGTCGTAATGTTACGACTTTATTCTCGTAATGTTACGACTTTAATCTCGAAATAGGATAAAAAAATCTCTAGCCCTGGCGCTAATACTGTGTTGTAAAAGAATAAAAAACAAACAGGGAAAAAGTTGCAGCTCTGGAATCCTTTGATTTAACAGAAGAAAGGTGATTGCATCTCAATATGACTGAAGCTAAAAGTGAAACACTTTGATTTTTAAATCATCAATGAAATAAAACCAAATCACATATATCATAATTGATTTATCATAGAAACAACATAAAAAAAAAACAAAAAAAAAAACACTGGACTGTTGTCAGGGTTTAGTTGAGGTTTTGAGGACCTAACTACAGAGGCGAGTTCTTGTAGTTTTAATGGAGTACTCACAAGCAACTGAGGCAGGAATCCAAAATCCAACATCAGTACAAAAAACAGAACCTTGGAGACATCAGAAAAAAACAAGTAAGAGAAGCCAGGAAAAGATAAGGAACCTGAACTGAGGAACTGCACATGGAGAGTTTATATGGGAGAATGAACAAAGACAGGACTAATGAGCTGATTGGGAGCAGGTGGGAACAGAGGATTCTAGAAGGGAGCTAGGAAAAGGAGAGCAACACAAGAGGGCAACAGAGGGCAAGCAGGGAAAAACCTAAGAACTCAAATATGTCCAGACACCACAACAAAATAGGAATGAAACCAATAAAACATGGATCAACGTGAAAGTGAAAAGAGAACTTAACAGAACCAAGACCGTGACATTTTATTTTCCAAGCTTGAAGACGTTTCGCTTCCTATCCAGGAAGCTTTCTAAGTTTGAAATACCTGGATTAGAGTTGAGTTCCGGACTTTATAGAGCAGCCCAACAAAAGCCTTGTTATGGCTTAGTAAACAACCGAACCGAAAGAACATGTCCACCCCTTAGTAACGGGGAATCATTGAGGCCATTGTTTACCTGCAATACCCAATACTAGCCTATGCCTCTGAAAAGGGAGTTATTAGGTTCATCGTTGGTCTGGCTGACCAGGCGATATTTATCATAGATTTAATGTCTGTAGTGTTTTTGGTAGGGGCCAGGGCCAGTTCTATATGAGCACTGTCCTCTGTTAGCCTCTGTCTGGAACCAACCATGCGTTTGCAGCTCATTCAGTTAAATCACCTTTTGATCACCAAGAACCAAACATTCTGCCTCCAATAGACCCGTCAGTTCATCTTAATAAGCCTACCTATTCCCCATTCATTACCAGCACCAATTGCACCACTTTGAACCAAATCAGTCTCCAGACATGAACCCAAAATTCACGCTGAGAAAACTTGAGAACTCTTGCAGGATTGCTGTTTATGATTTAAACAAGAAAGGGATGGAGTGAAAATATATTTGCAGGTGTATCAAAGGCCAAAAGAACACAAACATTTACAAATATATATATGTATACCCCCATATATTAAGACAAAGGAAAATTTCTTCATCTCATAACATCGTGTGTAATACCAGCTCTGCATTTAACATAAATAACCTATAATCAAGCATGGTGGTGGTAGTGTAATGGTCTGTAGCTGCTTTGCTGCTTTAGTTTTAGATGCCTTGTTGTATTTAATTGCAACTTTTAATTAGTCTTTCTACCTATAAATTTTTGAGAGACCATTTTGTAGTAGCCTAAGTTTAGATTTATAGAATCAAGAATTTCTATTCTCATTATATCACCATTATAAAAATTATCAAGACACACATATAGGAATATAAAACAGCCCTGTGAGTTTTGTGCAGCTCAGATCTGCTAATGCAAGACATGTTTATGTGATATAAGAGGAAGCATGCTCAGGGCCTTCAACTGTTAGGTTTGGCTTCCCTCTGATTTGTTTTTTCCACCAGGATGCGTCATGAAAACCAAATCAGGAGGAAGTTGGACAAAACATCCCACTGTTGCTACTTCCTGGAATATTAAGCAGTTTATAAATATCACAATTATGATAAAACCGCTTAATAGAAAGTGACTAACAACTTTATATAAGTTGAGCAGTTATGAAACTTGGCTGCAGGAGAAACAGGCCTGGTCTATGGTGCCATCTAGCGGTGAAATTGATGTATTACATTTTGTAAGGAAAGATTCATTTTTACAACTAAGTTAAAAAAGAAAATACGGAGAGACATAACTATAAAAAAAACACAGTAATGATAAAAAAAGTGCAATTTAAAGTTTTTTTTTTTATCTGCAAACATAACTGTAGAAAAGACTAAACTAAAGAAGCGCCATCATGTGGCCAAAAAAGTTATAGCATGAAAAAAAAATATTTAAAGCAGTTTCTTCTTTAAAGTAAAACAGTTGTGCATGTCCTCTATTAAGGTAAAATTACTAAACTTACCTTAATTTGTGGTTTAAGATTTTTAAGCCAATAATTATTTTCAGTTTGAATCACATCACATTCTTCTTATTGTTAATATTGTTTCAGAAGGTTATCTACAGCAGCTCTTGTAACATGAATGGAACAGTTTCTAGAATAATAAAAAGCATCGATCTCAGATCTTCAAAACAAGAAGCGGAAAATCAGGAAATTCTCCAAAGGTTTGCAGTCAGGCCATTAAATCCATTAAATGCATGAAATGCATCAATTAAGGAGATTATATAAGGTGCTGAGGGAGGAACGGCTACCTAAAACAGTTTTCAATTTAGTGACATTAACCCTGCTTGGATCAACTAAATATTTACTATCAATCAAAGTTAATCTTAACAGATATAGAATACATTATAATTCCATTTATGAAGAGAATACTAATTCTAAACCAACGTTGTCTTCAGTGAAGTATGAGATAATTGCGATTAAACATATTTTGTGGTTTTAGTTAAGTAAAACATACAGCATTAAATTATTCTTTGGTATTTATTAGCTTTTATTAATACATCTTATTAGGTTGGATCAGGGAAAGGATGTTTCTGCTACTTGTTTCTGAGTCCACGACTTTTTACAACTGGGTGTGCACAGGAGGACATACTTATGTTTAAATAAAAAAAGATAAATTATGCAATTAAATATCTATATATAATTGCATATATATAAATATAAATAGCGGTGATATTGAAGTAGGCTACTACATTGTAAGCAAAGATTTATTTTTGCAATTAAAGTAAAAAAGTAAATATGAAGGTAAAATTACTGATAAAAATATAAATTGTGCAATTGTTGCATCATGCAAAAAAAAAAAGCAAACACTGGCATTTCCTGCATTTTGATTGGTTATCAAGATGGACGTTTAATTGCTGTCAATCAGGTTTATTATATTTGATTATTACATTATATTTATATTATATAACAGTTGGTGTTAAATGCCATATTTGACATTTTATTTTTTGGTTCAAAGGCACCTGGGCTGTAACTACCATTGAGGACGCCGAGGTCATCACCTCTTTCTTTTTTATATTTTGCATACTTTGTGACATATAAACTCTAAAAATAAATTACACTTAAACTGAATGTAAGACAATGATCTAGGTCTCCCACAAAACTGCGAGGTGATTTATATCTAAAGAG